GAAAGTGGTTAGAATATTTAGGAAATTGTGTGATCAATAAAATGTGGGGGGAAAAAGAATGGAAGAGAACTGTAGACACCAGAGACAGTGTGAGAAGAGGGTGGGAAAGGGCAGAGGGTCAGATATAGGGGGTAAATATAAATAAATAAATAAATAAATAAATAAATAATGAAGGAGAACAGAGTGAAAAAAATGAAGCCCTCACATTTTGTACCAAAGCCATATGAGGTGTGTATGTACAAAGAGCTGTCACCACATGAAACTGGAAGAAAATGGGGGCGTTTGAGGAAAAGTTCTGGAACACCAAGAAGGGTTGAAGGCAAAGTCACGAGTCGAGACTCAGTACAGTTGGGAACTCTCCTCTTCCTCCCTCTCTCATCCCTTTCCTTTCTCGTCCCTCCCTCTTTACCCATTTTCTTCCAATAAATTCACCCAAGGAGAGAAAAATAAAATGGCAATGCAACACCTAGCGGCTCAGATTCTAGACCCAAAATGCTCTTCTGTATGGGACAAGAACATTGAGCCGAAGCTTGCCTGTGGCAATGTGGTGGAAAATCCGCAAGCACAGAGATTAGCACACATAAAAGCAAGGGAAAAACAATAAATTGAGATTCCACAAACCTGAAATTGAACTGCACTGTTACTAACAGAGGACAAATTGCAACCAACCTATAACTGTAATAAAGATAAAGTGAAAAAAAAAAAAGATTTTAAAAATACATAACAACATCAAGTGCTGGTGGGAAGTGGAGAGAATGGCCCCTGGGACATGGCTGGTGGGCGTGGGCAGTGCTGCGGCTGCAGACACTCTGGAAAGCAGAGCGGCCGTTCCTTTAAAATCCATGAACATCAAGTACCACGTGACTCAATGACATTCCTTGGCGGTTACCCCAAGGAATAAGAACTTACTCCACACAAAAACCTGTACATGAATGTCCCCAGCGGCTCTATTTGCAATGGCCCCAAACCGGAAGTAACTCAGGTGCCTGTCACCAGCCGCGCTTCGGTACTGCGGAGCAGAGCGCAGCCCTGCGGTGAGTGGGAGCAGACCGCTGGTACAGACGGCCACCTGCATGAGTCTCCGTGGAATTATGCTGAGTGAAAAATGCCAGTCCTAGGACCAGCAGATGGCGTAATGGCTACGTTGTTGGACTCCCATGTAGCTGACTGCGGTGCGGTTCGAGTCCCGACCCGTGGCTCAAACTCATGCCGGGAACATGTGCGTGCGTGCCCAAGATCCCAAGAGGAGAATGGAGGAAAAGGGATTGCAGTGTGGCCATCCCCCTGGGGGGTGACTTCTCGCTTTCTGTCTCTCTCTGTCTGTTTGGCGAGCACACGCGCCCTATAGCGAAAACCTCTCAAAAAAAAAAAAAAATGCCAATCCCAAAATGTAATACTGTGTAATTCCACTTACATAATATTCTTGAAATGGCAAATTTATTTTAATGAAGAGCAGGTTAGTAGTTGCCAGAGGTTAGGGAGGGGGCGAGGGTGGGAGGAAAATGGGAGAGGCGATGAGAAGGGAACACCGAGCCACCCCTGTGGTGATGGGAACCTTCTGTGCCTCGACTGTGTTAACGTCAACACCCAGGCCATGAGACCAAGCATCTACTTTTGCCTTGGGGGAGACTAGAGGAAGGACACACAGGGCCGGCCTTGTATCTTACAACCGCTGGTGAATCCGCAATTATAATCTCATTGAAAACCTGCTTTAAGAACGCTGCGTGTAACAGCAAAGGGCTGAGAAACACCAAGACCTTCTGAAGAAAAGGAAGAGTGTCAGTGAAGCCATGGCGTGACTTGGCGCCTGTCCGGGGGGAAAGCTGGGTGTAAAATTAAGCGTACTCTTATTTCTGCTCCACGCTTCACCTCCACACACAGTTAGAACAACTCTGCGCAGTGTGGAGACCCTCCCCACGCTCACGGCAGCACCGTTTGCCACAGAGAACGGGGTGCAGGTTCCAGCGTTCATTTCCTGCTTTTCCCGATCACTACAGTTCAGTGAGATGTCATCTCGAGGACCGACGCCTTAGCCTGATGGTTAAGGGAGCTGGATCCCAACCGGCCAACCCCAGCTCGAGTCCCCCCAGGGAACGTGGGCATGCCCCAAATCCTGACAGAATGGGTAAATGGAGGAGGGACTGTGGTGTGACCACTCCCCACGGGGGCGCTTTCTCCCTCTTCCTCTCTTTAGGCCTCTTTCTGGTGAGTGTATATGCCCTCTGGCAAATTTTTAAAAAAATGGAAACTGAATACATTTTGCTGAAGTGATTTAAAAACTGGGGCACGTGCTAGAATACTAAGTGGGGGCACGGAAGCTGCCGCCATATGCATCAAGGGTGAGTCTCAGAACACGGTGTTAAGGAAAGTGCAAGTCACAGGACAGAGTATAGTTTGACACCTTACATAAAATTCAAAAGATCCAAAACAAAAGTATTGTTGAAGGACACATCCAAACGTGATAACACTCCAAAAAAAAAGGCCAGGACCCTGGATTTCCAAGTCGAGGAGAGGAGGAAAGTACTCGGGAACTGAGAAGCACTGCACCATTGGATTTCTGCAGCCGGGTGAGGGTGGCTGGAGCACAGCGTGGGACCTCGCAGCTCACGTACACAGCGCACACACTCCATGGGAATTTTCCTTCATTTAGGGAAAACATGGGACCCAGAGATGCTATGTGGAAAAAGCCCTTATAGGACTGCCAAAGGGGGGCTAGCCATGGACGCGTGTTTTACCACCTGGAGAAACCCTACTATTCTATATTCTAGGCCAGGATTAACAAGACCCAAAATAAGGGGAGACGAACAGTGACAGATGAAAAAGCAGGGACTTAGCGTCTCTGATTCCCCCCGCATGGCGCGATGACCACGTTCTACCAGACACTCCCAATATCCACTCCAGCTACACGGGCCAGCCTGGTGGCTGGACTTGGGTGGTTGTCATTGGAACTGGAAGAATCTCGAGAGTCCCGCAGGTATCTTGGCCCCTAGTCAGCGCAGCCAAGTCTGGAAGACCCCTGACCTGACTCGGAGGTGCCCATCTGTCCCTGCCCTAGCCCACATCATCTAATGTGTGGAGAACCAGGCAGGCAGAGGTTCAGGACCCGTCTACGCTCACCTCTCTACCATGCCTCAGCCACTTTATCTTCACCTAGAGGACGTTCTTGGGACAGGACGGGAGGGTGCAGCATCAAGGGTGTTGCTTGAATGGGTGCCTTGACCCGTAGCTCCCCCACCCCCAGCCCTTCCGTGGAGAGACCACTCACAGAGGTAAGAAGGCTCTTACTTAGGAGTCTCCTCTTCTTCTAGAACCCTCTTCAGCTTCATGCTGGATGTGGTCTTGCAAGAGAGCAGAGCCCCAGGGCAGGAGGGGGGGAGGCGACCTGAGTGGTACGTCCACTCTGAGGCCCAGCAGCCGGATGAGAGCAGGCATCCCAGTGTAATGAAGACCTATCACCTCTGGGTTCCAAACCTGGACTGGTACGAATGTAAAACTGCTCTGTTTTTAATTCATTCATTCAAGCATTTAACAGATATTTCCTAAACTCTGAGCTAGGTCCTTGAGGTTCAGTGGTGGGGCCTCAACTGTGCCTTTCATGGGACTTGCTGTTGGGTTCTTAACAAGCAATGAGGAGGGGGTGAAGAAATAGAGAGAGGGAAAGGGAGAGACAGGAGGAAAGAGGGAGGGAGGGAGAGAGAGCGAGAAAGAAGGGAGGGAGAGAGAAGGGACATATCAGGAAAACAGAGACAGCCTAATCAGCCCCTGCAAGTCTAAAGGGACAGCAAATGTCTCTGGGAACCCTGGGAGGTGAAGGGTGCCCCTCTCCTAACACACGCGCATGCACATGTGGGCTGTCACGTCAAGTACACACACTGGACAGTCATAGACTAAGAAGCGGGTGCAGGACAGTAAGAAGCAGCTTCATCCCCTGGGTGGACCAGGAGCGCCTACTGCTGGGCTCCCACCCCACACAGCGCACTCAGTGCGAGGAGAGGTGAATCTGTGCCCTTGGGGAGCTCATGGTCCTAGGACTGACATTTCCAGACCCGGGGCCAACCTCCTGGAGAGAGCCGGGCTGGCAGGGGCGTCCTCGTTCCTTTTTTCCCTGGGGCATGTCAGCCTTTGGCATAAAACGATGCACCAGAGCAGGTGGTCCGAGGCAGGCGCCCTGTGCTAGCCGGGGCTGCGGGGACACCTTCGGACCCGCGGAGGAGAGGGTGGGCGAGCGCGGCCCGCGCCGGGCACCGTGGTGCGCCCACTCCCAGACGCGCCACCACACCCTGCTGGCCTTTGCCCCCATCCCTTCTCCCTGCTCCCCCGGCGACCGCTGCGCTCAGGTGTCTGGGGCGTGGAGGAAGGGGCTGGCATCTAGCTGTAAAGGACCAGAGACAGACGTCCCCTGACGATTTCGTGTCATTTTTCTGGGCTCACAGGAGGGGGGAGTGGAGAGGACAGACGCAGCCGGGAGGCCAGACACACCCTGCTGGCCTTTGCCCCCATCCCTTCTCCCTGCTCCCCCGGCGACCGCTGCGCTCAGGTGTCTGGGGCGTGGAGGAAGGGGCTGGCATCTAGCTGTAAAGGACCAGAGACAGACGTCCCCTGACGATTTCGTGTCATTTTTCTGGGCTCACAGGAGGGGGGAGTGGAGAGGACAGACGCAGCCGGGAGGCCAGAGGCTGTCCGGTCCGGGGACCCCCGCGGCACC